TTGAGTTGTGTGTTGCGCTCTACATCTTCAATTGAAAGAAGAAGAGATCTATTTATATTAACAATAGCCGTAATCCACTTCTTCCAATTCACATTAGAGATAGTGACGTTCACCTAATTCCTTTGCACCGTTCAATAGTTTACCGAAAGTTTCTTTAGTGCGTCCAACAAAGAAATATTAAACAATTCCACCGTCCAACAAATATTAAACAAATCAATGTTGAAAATTCCTTCTGCCGACAATTATTTCTTCACACGTGAGTAATTGTAAAGTTTCAATATAGGCCCTTGAACTCTTAGGAACTTGTCAATTTGTTCATGACTCCATAAATCTTAACAATCTCCCACTTGGAGGCTTGAACAACTTCGCTTTTCTCTGTCATCCAAAACTTTGCGACATTCCTTAGTCACACACACACTCTCTCTCTCTCTCTCTCGTTCTCTGCCATGCCTTTTCTCAAACTTCTGAAAGGCCAGTTGAAGCCATACAAAGCTTCAACTTTTCAGTGGTAACCACCTTGGTGAACATATCAGCTGGATTCTTCGTTCCAAGGATTTTCTTCAGATTTAGAGTTCCATCATTAATTAATTCTCAAATGAAATGGTACCTCATCTGAATGTGTTTCGTTCTACTATGAAACACTGGATTCTTTGCCAAGTAAACTGCACTCTGGTTGTCACAATGCAATACACAATCCTCCTGATACATTCCAAGTTCTGATAGAAAGTTCTTCAACCATATAAGCTCTTTGGCTGCTTCTGCAATAGCCATATACTCTGCTTCTGTGGTTGAGAGAGCAACACTCTTTTGTAACCTGGACATCCAACTGATTGATGTACCTCCAATTGTGAACACATAACCTGTTGTGCTCTTTCCTGAATCCACACATCCACCCAAATCAGCATCGGCGAACCCTTCCAAGATCACACCCTTTCTTCTGAAACATAGGGCAACCTCAGATGTTCCTTTCAAGTAGCGTAACAACCACTTTACTCCCTCCCAATGCTCTTTTCCTGGATTTGACATGAACCTGCTCACAACTCCCACTGCATGAGCAATGTCTGGTCTGGTGCATACCATAGCATACATCAAGCTACCAACTGCAGATGCGTAGGGAACTTTAGTCATCTGGTTCTTGTCTTCTTCCGTCTTTGGGGATTGCTTCTTTGAGAGTCTCAACTGACTTCCCAAAGGTGTACTTCTGGCTTTAGCATCTGCCATGCTGAACTTTTCTAAAACTTTCTTGATGTACTTAGCTTGTGAAAGTTTTAATGTATCGGTAACTCTGTTCCTGGCTATGCTCATGCCCAATATCTGCTTAGCAGCCCCTAAGTCCTTCATCTCGAACTCTCTGGACAACTGCTTCTTAAGCTTGTTGATTTCCTGCATGTCGGACCCAGCTATCAACATGTCATCAACATATAATAACAGGATGATGTATGAGGAGTTGAATTTCTTCAAGTAACAACAGTGATCCATTTCACATCTGTGATACCCACTCCTCTGCATGAAGCTATCAAACTTCAAGTACCACTGTCTTGGAGCTTGCTTCAATCCATACAGACTTTTCTTTAATTTGCACACCAGGTTTTCCTTGCCAACTGTTGGGAAACCCTCTGGTTGTGCCATGTAGATGTCTTCTTCCAGGTCACCATGGAGAAAAGCTGTCTTCACATCTAGCTGCTCTAGATGGAGATCTTCAGAGGCTACAATTCCCAAGACCATTCTGATTGTAGTCATCTTCACAACTGGGGAGAATATCTCGTTGTAGTCAACACCCCTCTTTTGTTGGAAACCCTTTACTACCAATCTGGCCTTGTATCTTTTAGTGCCATCAATCTCATCTTTGACCCGAAACACCCATTTGTTCTGCAGTGCTTTCTTCCCTGCCGGGAGCTTGACCAAGGACCAAGTATGGTTCTTATCAAGTGAGCTCAACTCGTCTTCCATAGCCGTCTTCCACTGTATGGAATCTTTCATCCTTAAGGCCTCTGGATAAGATTCAGGTTCACCATTCTCAGTCAACAGCAAGTAATTAGCTGAAGGAGAATACCTTACTGGAGGTCTTCGTGCTCTAGTGGATCTACGAATAATAGAGTTTCGGTTTCTGCATCATCTGCAACCTCATCTTCTGAACTACTATCCACTGTGCTCCCACTATCTCCAGATACATCAGAGCTCCCACTGCTTCCTGAACTTTCACCTATCTCTGGAGTACTAATAGGTTTTACAACGTCATCGTCTGAGATTTCTTCTAACTCAACTTGATCCTTCTTTTCTGGTTGCTTGTCACCATTGGAGCTTTTTGCAAGTTCATCCTTGTATAGAGCATTCTCGTTGAACACCACATCCCGACTTCTGATAACTTTCTTATTCTCATTATCCCAGAAGCGGTACCCCATGTCATCCAACCCGTAACCTATAAAGGTGCACTTTCTTGCCTTTGCCTCTAGCTTGTCTCTCTCCGAGTCTTTGATTTTGACATACGAGACACAACCAAATACCTTCAAGTGTTTGAGCGAAATCTCCCGACCTTGCCATTCCTCTTCTGGAATCTTGAACCCTATGGGAACTGAGGGTCCTCTGTTGATTAAATATGCAGCTGTGTTGACCGAATCTGCCCAGAACATCTTGGGTAAACATGCATGCAGTCTCATGCTTTTAGCCCTCTCATTCAATGTTCTGTTCATCCTCTCAGCTACTCCATTTTGCTGAGGTGTCTCCGGAACCGTCTTCTGATTCCTTGGTCAGCACAATAATCAACAAATTCTTTGCTACTGTATTCGCCCCCATTGTCTGATCTGAAACACTTGATTTTCAAGTTTGTTTCATTTTCTACAATAGCTTTCCATTTCTTGAATGTGCTGAAAACTTCAGACTTATGCTTCAAGAAATAAACCCAAACTTTCCTTGTGCAGTCGTCAATGAAAGTAACGTAATATCGGGACCCTCCCACTGAAGAAACTGAAGTGGGACCATAAACATCTGAATGAACTAACTCCAACTTCATGGACTTCGGCGGATGACCAATCTTTGTGAAAGTAACCTTCTTCTGTTTACCCATAATACATGGCTCACAGAAGTCAACTGTCACAGTCTTCGGATCTGGTATTCTTCCTTTGGAGGCTAGCATCTTCATTCCTTTCTCACTCATATGGCCAAGTCTTTGGTGCCATAGAGTAGATGCCTCAACTTCTTCAACATGTGTTTCAGCATCAGAAACTTCCACCATATAAAGTGTACCCCGCTTCTGACCTCTAGCAACAACTAAGTTTCCCTTTGTCACTTTCCACTGATGATCACCAAATGTAACATGGTGACCTTCATCATCAAGCTGCCCCACAGATATTAACATCCTTTTCAAGTCTGGAATGAACTTGACATTCTTCAAAGTCCACTTCGTACCCAAGGTTGTCTTGAGGACCACATCCCCAACTCCAGTAATATCCAGGCTCTTGTTATCTGCTAATCTGACTTTCCCTTTGTACTGCTTAAAATTATGCATTACTTCTCTGGAATGACTAGCATGAAACGACGCGCCAGAATCCATGATCCAGGATTCAGTTGAGTTTTCAACACAACAAATGAGTGCATCATCTTCAGAATCTGCTGCCATATTTACTTCCTTCTTGCCTTTGTCTGCCGAAGGCTTTGGGCACTGATTTCTGAAATGACCTTTCTCATTACAGTTCCAACAGGTAATATATTTCCTGTTCTTCGACTGACCTCTCTTTCTTGACTTCGATCTTCCTCTATCACCACCTCCTCTGTTGGTCTTTCTTCCTCTGCCTTCAGTAGTTAGAAGACTACTGGAACCTTCTCCGGCACTCCTTCTGCGCACATCCTCACCAAGGATTAAATCGCGAATACCTTCGAATGATAGCTTGGCACCTCCGGCTGAACTGCTAACGGCGGTCACTGTGCCGGACCAACTATCGGGTAACGATGATAATAGTAGCAACGCCATCACTTCATCTTCAAATCCAATATCAACAGATATCAATCTTGATATTATTGAGTTGAATTCGTTTACGTGATCTGTCACCGAGCTACCCTCCTTCATCTTCAGATTTACAAGTTGTCGGATCAAGAAAACCTTATTTGCCGCTGAAGGTTTTTCGTACATATTAGACAACGCATTTATCAGACTGTAGGTTGTCTTCACATTGACAATATTGTAAGCTACATTCTTTGCCAATGATAACCTTATCACTCCGAGTGCCTGCCGATCTAATAAGTCTCACTCCTCCTGCGTCATCTCTTCGGGTTTGTCTTTGGACAAAGGTTGGTGTAACTTCTTTTGGTAGAGATAATCTTCAATTTGCATTTTCCAGAAACCGAAATCTTGACCATCAAATTTTTCGATCTTAACTTTCCCATCTTCAGCCATAGCTCTGATACCAGTTTTTCCTTTGTTGGGAATGCAACAAAACAAGTTAAGCACTTCTAAAAATTGATATAACGATTTCGGCAACACTCACGGAATAAAACTAATGAAAAATAGCAAACGAAATTGAACACGATATTTAACGTGGTTCGGTCTAATTTGACCTACATCCACGGGCGAACGAGAGAGAGGGGATTTTATTAACACCAAAGAAAATTACAATCATACAAGGCTAAAAAACTGCCCTTGTAATCTGATCACTCACTGTAAGATATCACTCGTAATTTTTTGGCTGCCAAAAATTAAGGCTCTGCACAAAAATAATACCTCACTAATTTCTTTATGTGTATATAAGAACTTGAGTTGTGTGTTGCGCTCTACATCTTTAATTGAAAGAAGAAGAGATCTATTTATATTAACAATAGCCGTAATCCTTTTCTTCCAATTCACATTAGAGATAGTGACGTTCACCTAATTCCTTTGCACCGTTCAATAGTTTACCGAAAGTTTCTTTAGTGCGTCCAACAAAGAAATATTAAACAATTCCACCGTCCAACAAATATTAAACAAATCAATGTTGAAAATTCCTTCTGCCGACAATTATTTCTTCACACGTGAGTAATTGTAAAGTTTCAATATAGGCCCTTGAACTCTTAGGAACTTGTCAATTTGTTCATGACTCCATAAATCTTAACACTTGTTACTTTTTGTTAAAAAAAATATAAACTTTATCGGAAATGAGCCTAAAATATACGGACTTTTCAGACAATAACCTTAAAAAGAAACTACACGTCAGACAATGATTGATGGGACAAAAAATTGCAATTTTTTGTCTCACCTAAAAGGGACATGGGTGCACTCTCAATCCATCGTTTATGCAAACGACGTGAATGCCCTCATCCTCATCATGAAAAATAGTTTAGAAAGCTTGTCCAGTTCCATTTAATTCAGCCATATGTTATCTAGGGGGATGCACATACTCCAACTTACAAATCCACTTCTTCTGAGGAGTTCTGTGTTCCATTTGTTGATGCAGACAAGGTGTTAGGGGCAGGACTCTGAATGGCAGATTTGAGTTTTTGATTTTTTGATTTAGAAACCGCATAAAGATTACAAGTATCAGGTAATGATCTTTGTAAGCTGGATGCCACATCTGAACTGCTTTTGAATGCCCTGTGCATTTGAATAAAACAATCCATGAGAACAATAAAACGCAAAAAGAAAAAAACCAGAAATTATAACCTCACAGCACAAATGGAGACCTGGTTAAACGGGATCGATAACCAACCACAAGATGAGTTATGGCATTCCTGGTGACGTATAGAATAAGGGCATTAGAAGCGTCTGAATCCTTTAAGACAACCTTCTTTGTTCTAACCTGAAATCATAGAATCAATGACAACTGATAAGTCGATCACTTATATATATTTAGCTCTATGCTAAAAAAGACCAGTTTACATTTAGCTCATACACTGATAAGTTGACTTTTTATTCCTATGAAAAATGAGTCCCCTTCCTACTTTTGAGTATCACATGAGTTAGCATCGGATCTTTGAAGAAAAAAAATAGACTCCTTTTTTGTTGAACAGCTTTAAAACTACACAAACTTTTGCTGAAAAGCTTAAATGGTAGAGAATACAAAAACAAGAACCATGGTCTATAGACAGAATAAATGGTGAAGTAATGATGGAAATTACCCCTTTGAGAGCACAAAGTGAAGAAAAAGGTTGGAAAAACTGTTGCATTTCAGCTTCTGTTGGGGGCCTACCATCCTTGCCAATTCCGGCTTCATCTGAAACACAATTCAAAATTATGTCCGATGTCAACTAACGCTAATTTTGTAGATTTGTACAATAACAGATACATTTAACATTAACCCTAGAAAAGATGGAAGCTCAATTAATTCGTATAGCATCTAATCAGATGTTCGCGATCGACTAATTAGAAAACCCTAATCACATTGACACAAAGGATCAACAAGATTCATGATAATAATGATAAAAAGTGATTCGAGATACTAACCAGGTAAAGTGGTTTGGGTGAGAACATGAAGAAGCACAACGCATGACATATTGTCGACGACGTTCTCAAGAGTCCATTTAACTGCATATTGGCTATTCTTATCTTTATCGATTGCTATAGCCGTGGTTATGGTTATGGCTACGCCAACGCCGTCCATGGTGGTTTGTCCTCCGCCGGCGATAGACCTGAGGACAACCCAAATACCACCGGACGCCCATCCTACAGGAAAATTACAGGCTCAAATTTATACCTGTCTTCTTTAATCATTCCATCGATTTCGTTACTGTCGTCTAAATCTGGAGCCAAATATGCATCCCGACTTTCCCGCATAAAGAAACGAACCTGGTGGCTGGTTAACATCTGCGGTGCTGTACATGTTAAAAAAAAAAATTAAAATAAACTGATTTTATAAACTGAAATAGTTTTTAATACCGAAAAATTAATAATGTATGACATTTCAGTAAGAATTTATGATATTTCAGAAAAAATAATTATATTTCAACAAAAAAATAAAAGATATTTTAGCAAATAATAATGATATTTCATCATGAATTTATCATTATTCAATATAAAAAATCGGAAAAAAAAAATTCAACAAGAATAAACAAAAAAAACGAAAAAAAATGTAAAATAAGGGAATAAAGTGTTATGTGGCACAATTGTTTGTTTTTTAGAAGTCTTTTTTTTTGTTGCATTCTAATGCATAAAGTCCACTTTAACCTGTTTAGTAAGAATATATGTCTTGTTTTAACCGGTTTCCACGCCAAATCATGTCTATGTGGCATTTTGAGGTCACGTGTGAACTACCATTACCTACTGCTTGTTCATTCGTTACCTTTGAAATATATGAGTTTGACTTGAAAAGTCAAACCTGCATCGTGAATTTGTTTCTTCTAAAATAAGTGTGTTTTCAAGAAACCTTAACAATATCTCTCTTTCACTTACTGTGTAACATGGATTCGTATTGGATTAAACTTATTTGCAACCAATACAATCAAACTCAATTTATGAGCAGCAAAGTAGGTCGATCTGAACTAGTATGAATCGTAAGACCCATAGCACCAATCAATATGTCCATGACCCATGACAGATGATATGACTCATAATTCCCAGAATACAACCATGCCCAATAATCAAATGAGGCCCAAATAGCTCAAAGGACCAAAACAGATTCGACCCAACTGTGATGCGCACGCTCGGCGTACCATTCTGGTACGCACAACGTACTGGGGTCTTGGGACTACGCGCGACGTACACTGGGTTACGCCCAGCGTACAACCAGTATAAGCACTTTCTCCATTACGTGCTTAATACTCGTTTCCTTTACGTCCAAAAGCCAGATCTAAGTTTGTTAAGACGTCCTAAGGCATAAAGTTGGCAACTTTATGCCTTTGCATGCCTCATATACACCCAACACCTCCATTAAGACCTTTCCAAGGTCTTTAACCCATGCATGAGGCCAAAACTCCCATCAAGACTCAATTTTTATGGTTCTAAAGGACCAAGGGACCTCAGATATGTCATTCCCATCTTCTGGAGTTGCTTACCTCACAAATGGAGGTCCAAAATCAACAAAAAGGGACAAGGTAGAAAACCCTAGCTAAATCTAGAGATTCAAGATGAAAGATCCAAGCTTTTTACCTCTAGAAGCTTTGCAAGATGACTAAGATGCAGGTTCTTGAAGCACCAACTCGTTCCAAGCTTGTTTGACCACCTTTTCTTCTTGGAATGAACACTAAAAGGGCCACAAATGCACTCTTTAAAGCTCAAAAATGGTCTCACAAGTTTCTCTGGAGTGTAAGGATGTTCTAAGGCTGTGGAGGCTCTCTAGGGTTAAGTCCAAGGGACTTAAGGTCGCTTAAATAGGTCTCATGTCCGAAAATTAGGGTTTTGGACCTCTGGCACGTACGCCCATCGTACTGCTGGTACGCCCAATGTACGTCTGGCTCCTCCGCGACCAACCATGCATAGTACGCTAAGCGTACACTTAAGTACGCCCAACGTACTTAAAGGACCAATTATGCTAAAATGTAAATTCTTGAGGGTTTCAAGTCATACCAGATTTAGGGTGTTACAGCTTTAATTTACACCTAGGCTTGGGTATCATATGCCTCGACTGATATTTAGCATATGACATGTCACCAACTGCTTTGCTAGAGATGCAAGATATGTTGGAGAAGCTAGAAATTGGTATGTATTTTATATTGTACTTATACATTATTATAAATTATATTAACATATGTTGTTTTTGGTTTGTAGATGAATTAAGATGCTGACAAAACATGATAGACTCATTCATGGATGATTGACATTGCTATATTCAAAGGTAAATCAATAGTATATTAACATTTCTACACTTTACCATTAAAAATATACTCTTAGATTGACCGATTTAATTTGGTTAATTTTTCTGCATGTCTTGCCTAATTTATTAAAAAAAGTTTAAACTTTTTTGTACTGTGAGTAATGTAACAAAAACAAGTTTTTAAACTCATTTGTTTTTAAATCAAGTTTGATTATTTGATGAAATATTCATATTTATACTATGTTATTGTTAGTCACCTCACCACATCTAGGTTTATAGAAATGGATAGAGGATGAACATGATTAGATTGTACAAATATGGTGGTGGAAATGGAACTGCTGGACTTGATTGGATCATTGTAGGTATCATGTTAACATTTTTTTTTTTTTTGCTATTTCAACTTGAACTTTTAGTTTAAACTTTAGTACTTTATGTTATCATCAATAAACTTTCAGGTGTTAAATTTTGACTATTTGATAATTTTTATGATGGTAGAATTTGTACCTTTACATTTGCATTAGTTGATAATTATTCTAATATACTTAAATTTGATAAATTTCTGTTATATTTTGAACCCAAAAAACCATAAAAGCTGGAAAACATGAACCACAAACCTATGGTTTCAAGCTGAAAACATGCAAACCCGAAAACAGAAAAACCGAACCCATAAAAACAAAACCGATATGATTTTGCAACAAAAAATAATGATATGTATGGTTTGAGTTTGGTTATAGGCTTAATAGCCAACACCGACTCTTGCCAATCCGTAACTAATATGGGGTCTCATGTGGGTGGATATTCAAACTATCGTGGTGTGTTTCTAATTTCGTAGAACTTGAGGACAAAAAAATGTGATAAATCATAACTATGATGGCCCCTTTTGCTAACTTTCTTAAAATAAGTCCAAAAAAAACATTTTTTTATCAACACAAAGAAAATGCATTGAATCATGTTGATAAACGCATCTATACGTGTCACCAAAGCAGTAAAAGCATTCCCGAGGAAATTTCTTTCTCTCTCCCTCTCTTTCTCCCTCAACAAAATCTCGAAAGGAAGCAAGCTCAAGAACTTGGGGGTTTCTTTTTTACATTTTATTGATTGATTGGTAAGCAATTTTCAGCTTCTTTTGATCTAAAATTTGCAGTTGACAGCAAACCATAGAACTAAAAAATTAGGATTGTATTCATCATTTTCTTGAAATAGCCCGCCCTAGTTTCTATTCATATTATTGATATCAGTTAATTATATGAAGTAATGAAAAGAAGACCCAAATTAGATTCAGAGGTTGTGAAGGGTTGCCTCAGATCCATGGAACCTAGATTTCACGTGTTAGAAAATTTGAAAAAGTCTTCACCTTTTTAGGGTTTCCTCTGTGATTATTTCTGGGTTTGGATTTTTTATTTACTTCTGGTTAAAACAGAATTTGGGGTTCTGTATTTGATTCAAGAATCTCGTATTATTTAGTTAGATTCTAAAAAGCCCTAATTTCTTCTATTATTCAAATTGGCGTTGACGAATCATCAGATCCAGTTTTGGACACCGTCGGATCTGTTGACCAAATCGCGATTCGTCGTTCATGATGCTAAAATCAGTGATCAACTTAAAGCGATTCGTGTAGAATTTGGGAGGTTTTTTATAATCTTCAAAAAAGAGGGGTTAAGATGGAAGAGATGCCTTCTGCAGTTTCAGTTACTCTTGGGAATCACGTCGATTTCACTCGAATGAAGCTATTTACTGAAACCGCAAGCTTGTTATCTGAAAAAAACATCAATGGCGATATCATGATTCCAGAAACCGATGCAGATGAAATTATATCAGTTGGTGATGAACAACAGATTGAAATTAACACTTCGGTTAGTGTTCCAATTGCTGTTGCGATTGAAGGGATAGATAATGGTCAAATAGTTGCTAAAGTTATTAGTTTGGAAGCTGAACATACTTTGAAAGCTTCTGTAGTGACGATTGGAGAGAAGAATCAGACTAAAGTGTTAAGAAGTGTTTTTGAGTTGGAATATTTGCCACTTTGGGGCTCTCATTCAGTTTGTGGTAAAAGGCCAGAAATGGAAGATGCTGTTGTGGCTGTTCCTCAGTTTATGCAAGTTCCAATTAAGATGTTTGTTGCAGATCATGTAATTGATAGGGTGAACCCTAATTTGAGTGATTTGACTGCTCATTTTTTTGGAGTTTATGATGGACATGGAGGTTCTCAGGTATTTTCTTACCTTTCTCTCACTTCATTTCAACATTAATTTATCAGGGTTCAAATGATAATTATTTAGTGTTTGGACAAAAAGATTTTGCTTACTATTATGGTCAAGATTTTGCGTCACGAAGTCAAAAGTGATTATTACAACTTCAAACAGTAAAAGTATATCCAAAACTATCTTTTGCAATGCATTTTGTTATAAGTTATAACTGATTGTCTGATTTTAGTTATTGAATATCACATAATCATTTGCAAAATGCACGTTCAAACTGGTTTAAAGGTTAGGTGATTTTACTTTTGTATTTGTTTTCTTACAAACAACTCATCAACTGCGTGTCCATATTTGATTACTTGTATTTATTTTTATATCGAGTAACGGAAAAAATTAGAATCATAATTAGTTCTTTACCAAAAACTTCAAATGAGTTATTAAGACTTGAAGTTGCAAGAAACGCCCATTTATAATAATCATCTTAGTGCATGTTTGGTTTGTGAATCCGGCGGAATTGGAATTCAAGATTCCATTCCATGACGTGTTTGGTTGCCAAATGGAATAAATTCTATTCCGTTAGATATTTTCAAATTCTATGTTTGATGGATTTTTCCATTTCCAGTAATTGAATTCCATTCTTCTTTTTATCAAAAGACTTTCATTATACATATATTGAAATAAAGTTATTCAATATCTATTATCAAATTCCTTTCTTATTTCCACCAATACATGACAAATTACAAATCATTTATAATCCAGTTCGCTCATATTTCAATTCCTTTGATAGATTCTATTCCTTCCAAATACATTCTACTAACCAAATACCTTAGATTCATCAATCATGCATACTTAATCTCTTTTAACATAAAAATAATAATAAATAATCAATCAAATTCCAATTTTGTTACTTGATTCAGGTTGCCAATTACTGTCGTGATCGCCTCCATTCTGCTTTAGAGGAAGAACTAAAAATCACAAAGCAAGAACTCGTTAAAGGGACAATCAATGACAGTTTACAAATCGGATGGGAAAAAGCCTTCACAAAATGCTTTCAAAAGGTAGATGATGAAGTCGGAGGGAATGTGAGCAGAAACATTCCGGAAGTTTCCGGAGACCCGTCTGACATAACTTCTGAACCAGTAGCCCCAGAAACCGTGGGGTCCACTGCTGTGGTTGCCTTAATCTGTTCTTCACATATCATAATTGCAAACTGTGGTGATTCTAGAGCTGTTCTTTATCGTGGCAAAGAAGCCATGGCTTTGTCAAATGATCATAAAGTATAACACTTTTTGTTATAACAATAATTATTATTTTTATTGGGTTTTTGTAAATCTAACTTTTTGGTTGAATGTTAAATTGATTAGCCAAATAGGGAAGATGAATATGCAAGAATTGAGGCAGCTGGAGGAAAGGTTATACAATGGCAAGGGCATCGTGTGTTTGGTGTGCTTGCAATGTCGAGGTCAATTGGTGAGTTTACTATGTGTTTTTTGTAGTGTAACACTATGTGTTCTTGGCATAAATCGGAAATTTTATGGGTAGTGTTTAGTATGATGGGAATTGGTGGAGGAATGGAATGGGAAAATGTTGTTTGTTTTGTGTGATGGAATGGAATGGGCCAATCTTGAAGCAATATGATTGCTCCTATTTTTTCTTTCTTTTTGTTATAGATGGAATGGAAATTGCCAAGTAGTTCATTTCTATTTATGTAAGTTTTTAGTGATACAAATTTATTCTAAAAACAATCATGGTTTTAATTAAATAATAGTAGTTTTCTTAATTAAAGAATAACTAGAAAATATAATTGTCATTATAAGTTTATATTGGGTTCTATTGAGCTTTTATTATGTATAGTTTTTTATTTTGTAAATAATAAATTCATCATTCATCTTTATGTAATTTCTAATGACGAATCTTTCCAAAGAAGTCACGGTTTTAATCAAATAAAAGTTTTAATTTTTCAAAGATAACTAGAAACATTTGTTTATTCCGACGGATTAAAAATATTTTTCTTTTTATTGAAAATATGATTCCTTTTGTAGGATAAGTTTTAAACAGTTATACGTTATATGCATTTTGTACTATAGGTGTATAATTATTGTTGTCAATTAATTTCATTTCAACCAAATAACACGGTTTAACGACTCATTCCATTTGGTCCATTCCATTCCTTTGTCATTACGACTCATTCCATTCCATCCAATCCAATCCAATCAAACAAAACCTTTTCTTTATAATTTTTCCCCCTAATTAATTTGATATGTTTTCAGGGGATCGGTATTTGAAACCGTGGATAATACCGGAACCAGAAGTGACATTCACAGCCCGAGCAAGAGAAGACGAATGTCTAATATTAGCAAGTGATGGATTATGGGATGTCATGTCAAATGAAGAAGCATGTGAAGTGGCAAGAAAACGGATCTTGATTTGGCATAAAAAGAATGGTGGAAACACCCTGGAAAGAGTGGGGCCCGGGGCTGAGGATCCTGCAGCGCAAGCAGCAGCCGATTACCTCGCCATGCTGGCGATCCAGAAAGGAAGCAACGATAATATATCCGTCATTGTCGTGGATCTTAAAGCTCAAAGAAGGTTCAAAACAAAATCTTCATCTTGATTTTGTTGGTATTTTATGATGATGATGATGATGATATATGATATAGTTTTTATAGAACACAAGTTTTTCTTCTCATTGTTAGTCCATTCATTTTTCATATGGGCTTTGAATGTGTGTATGAGAATATGCTTTTTATTATTGCTAATTTGCTATAGCTTAGTATAATTATAATCTCTTTATTTTGGTTGTGGCTATGTATACTAAGACCCTTTTGTAGAGACTGCTTACTATCTCACTAATATATACTATATTATCTTTCAGTCATTGAATTTTTAAGTACTATATATACTATCCATGGGTTCATCACTAAAATGATTGAATAAATATCACAAAATGACTTCATTTGGTAAATTTGGATTTTGTAAAAATATCCTTTGAAGCATACATTTGCTTTAGAAATGATATCTATAATGAAATGTTGATATTATTTTGCAATTTTTTGTATTCTTAAAAGGTTTTGTAGTCGGTCCATTAATCAAGTAAATTTGTAAGAACATTTTACGAAGTTTATGTTGCGAAAAGTTGGCCACTTCATGATATTTGTTTAAAATGTGGTTATTTTAATAGAATACCACTAATTTTGGTCCCTAATTTATCTGAACAACTGATTTGATAATTCTAATTATGAAATCACCACATGGGTGTCGCATTAAACTTTTACCCGGTTTGATCCTAATTTGTTTGAATTGCTATATATGTAACAACCAAATCAGATAGACAAACGTTTTAGAAAAAGATTTGTTGCTTGGGACAAAAGCAAGTGATGGTATGGGAATTGGGAAAAGAAGGAGAGCGGACTAAGATAGGTATCTAATCCTTCTTTTCTTTGTTTTCAATATTTTATTTCTATGTAAAGGTATTTTCACATGTTATGATTTAACATTATTTATCATTGAATAGTAAAATTATAACTAGATGATTGGTTGTAATAAAATATGGTAATTAAGTGTTTGCTTATGTTGTTTCAAATTGTAGTAAGGGAAAAATAAATTTGGCTAATACTCGTAAGTTTCTTTTCAAGAAATTAGACAAATTTAGGTATTTTTTTTGGACGTATAAACTCCTCTTAAATCTATCTCTATGTATCCGAAGAAACTTGAACACTCAACCTCAAAGAAAGATGACAACACAAATATTGTTGAAATAGAAGCTCTTTGGTGTTATATTGGTACCTATGGAAATGTTCTCCACCCTAAGAAATGACAGCTGGTTTTGATAACATCACATGTTTAGTCAATTGTAGATGAAATGGTTTTGTGAAATTGAAAGCGAAATGGCCATTTTGCAGACCACTATTGTGAAATGGTAAAAGCCTCGTGCACAAATGCCTTCAGTTTTGTTTCTTTTTTCTTTTCTTTTTTAATTTAATCTAATAAATACCTAACAACAGAAGTATAATGAACAATTAGTTATTTGTTATTTACGTCGGCCGCTTTGAAGTTAACATTAAAATTAGGGAGCGAAAAGTTATCGACTTCAAAAAATTATTATGCCCATTACAATTTCCGAATAAGTCACAGGTTTGATTGTATAGCAATGAGTTATTTATTTCCATTTCATTTTGATTTTTAGAAAAATTAGCTACTTAATGTGTATTTGGTTTATAATTTTTGTGTGTAATTGCATCTGGTATGATTCTATTTTTTTTTATATACTATTCTATCATACATCATTTTAGTTTTATTTTTTTCATTTGACTAACTTTTATATTTTTATTTTATTATAACTTAATCGTTATCGATTTTATTATTTGATAATTATATTTTTATTGCTAACTTTATTAATATTAATAATTTAAACTTATTTTTTAATAAAATAAAAAAGATAACAATAATATTGTTTTTATAGTATAATAATACAAATAATATTATAAAAAAAATAAAATTCCAAATAAATTTTCATCAATTTTTTTTATCATGGTTTTTAATCGTAAACCCACAAACTTAATATATTCTTTTTTACATTCCATAAACCTAATATCATTGATTGTTACTATTTAATCACATACTAATCATTAAAGGTGTTTGAACAAGAAAGAATATTTAGACGACTAAGTAATCAAGTAATATTCAATCAAGGTGTATGAAAGACTATTGTGTTTGAGACAATATAAATGTCAAATTGCAATAAATGTGAGACAAGTGAATTACAAGGAAAACCTTTGATCCTTTATAGGATCTCCGACACCAAATCTTGAGAGGTGATAATAATCACCTGTCTTGTTGTTTTTATTGATTGCAATGTGAGATTACATAGATGATGAAGATAATACGAGTACAAGTGTAGTAGTAAAACTATTTGTGTGTAATACATTTGTATTCATAGTTTAAACTAAGTAACAATAAGTCCGATATTTTCGGGATCCTCTTAAATAAGCATATGCACGTTGTTTGACTTGGTATTCCTGGGTCTTAAGCCTGGTTGAAGTGTTTCTTTGTCGAGAATGAGTCTCATATTGACCGTTTCTACACATGTGAGAAACAAAAATAAAAATATGACTGTTAAAAATGTTAGGAAATAATAATAACAGTCAGGATCCTAAGAAGGGTTCGGGATCCTGAAAGATCTTTGAAGATTCGAGATTCTGAAGAGGGTGAAGATCTTGGCCTAACAATTGCCCCCAAATTATGCCTACATGATATTTAGGTTATTTTTAAGTAGATAAATATCAAAGGTATAATTTTAAATTAAGTAAATAAAGATAAGGGTTTTGAATTTCAAACCCTAACGAATAAAATTTATATGTTCCATGAGCATCATTACGAGTCAAATCATCTTCTCTCTCTTCTGCCACCAGAATAAATAGGGAAATCGGTTCAAGATTTTATTTACCTTCCAAGCTTTTACTTTTGATCATCTCCGGTTACTTTCAAAGGTAATTTCTTTCTTATTTTTTCCTTCTTTTTCGATCGTGGGAAAGAAAATCGCTCGCTCTCATTCTAGCATACCCCCCCCTTCCGAACACGATTTCACCGATCAAAATTTACTGCTCACGATGAGTCATGTTCTTTCAATAATGAGAATATTCAATCCTTGAAGAACAAGGGTGCTTTTCCTGATGGCGTCGTCTTCAAACCCTTCGATGCCCTGGTCCAGGCAAATTTCGTTTTACCCACTTGGGTTTGCTTTCCGGGATTCCCCTTTTCTATAGGTCTAACTTATTCTTTCTCTGGAATCATCTCTGATTTCTTTGAGGTTACCCAACTCTCCTACGTCCAGGTCATGTCAACAGTTTGGAGGATCCTTTATTGGATCGATCACCTAAATCAGTCTGGGCATTTAGGTATCGGTTTATCCGAGTTAGCTTTTATTTATGATCTTTCCACCTTTGTCTCTTCTTGATTCTTGTTCAAGGTCAAACCAGACAGACCAGTTCTTGTTCTAAAATCCAAACATAATGACGACGCTTGGGAAGAAAGGTTTTTCTTTATGAGACGGGATTCCATTCCTGATGGAACTTCTTTGCCAGAGAGATGGGTTAAAAAGGGCAGAATTTTTTTTATTCTTTAAGGATCCTATGATTTAATTTCTTATTTTATTTGTTGTGATGCAGCGTTCAAGTTTGAGGATCTTGCTCCTGCCGTTGAAGATACAGAAGATAAAATAACAAACTTTCTTGCCTTGCCTGAGAGAGTTAGATATTTTCGATTCAAACAACCTATTCTTCAAGAAAGTTCTTCTGCTACTGCCCCATGTCGACGGGTAAGGATCCTGAATTCATAGTTTTTTTTTGTTTTTTTTTTAATGTTTAGGATCCAAGGTCACACGCTCCGGTACCCGCTTTACCCTTGCTGATCTTGACACGACCATGTCTAGCTTCCAGCTGTCAGTGAATAAGGAGAAGACCTTAACTTCTCTCCCTCCCAAGAGAATTGTAACATCCCAATTTTCGAGTCCAAACATTTCTTTTAAATTAACTGACTCATAAAAACATTCATAAGAAAATACTGTGAAAACACATCATCTCATAAAACAATGCATCATGTCTGAAAACCCAAGTCATAAAATAATAACATATCAGAGTACAATCCCAGAAAACTCCATGCGGAAATCATGTGTGTGTGATGCGATGCTACGCCGCCGGCTCCTTCCCCTTAGACGAAGAGGTACCTGAAACCAAAACCGAAACCGTAAGCACAAAGCTTAGTGAGTTCCCCCATCATACCACATACCATATAGTATCATCGGTATCTTTCAACCGGTAATCATCGTCGGTATCTTTCAACCAGTAATCATCGTCGGTATCTTTCAACCGGTAATCATCATCGGTATCTTTCAACCGGTAATCATCATCGGTATCTTTCAACCGGTAACTGTCATCGGTATCTTTCAACCGGTAACTGGGGACTATTCCACCCCCTACCACTAGCATACAACAACAAGATATAAACATACAGTCAGACATATATGGGTACTGATCTACCCTTCGGTCCTAAGGACCGCTGTCAGGGAAACTAATCCCTATTATACACGTAACATATCATACAGATAAAACTCATGACCAAAGCACGTAACCAGACCAAGATAATTATCACAAAGACAATCATCTTCTAAATACTCCTCTTTGGTGGGCCGGAATTGTGGCCTTAGACCCACCCCTACTGGAAGGTAACTCACCTCGTACGAGTAGCTGCTGATAATCCGTGCGAGAAACCTCTGTCCGCTGCTGCTCCGGAAATCCTCCGGCTACAATCCCCACAAAACACTCAGTCAGAGTCTGATATCTACTCTTAGGGTAAAATGACTATTTTACCCCCCACCAAGTACAAGTCAAAGTCAACTTCCAGTTGACCCGACTCGCCGAGTTGGGCCGTCAACTCGTCGAGTCCCTTCCCTTTACTCGTCCTTATCCACGACTTGACTCGTCGAGTTTGGCAACGACTCGACGAGTTCCCCTTCTTTACGAACATCAATGAACCTTCATCCGACTCGCCGAGTCGGATGAACACTCGTCGAGTTCACCTTCAACTGATGAACAAGTCCTGACCTTGACTCGCCGAGTTGTATGAACAACTCGTCGAGTTCATCTTCAAACATAAGAAGATTGCCTTGGACTCGCC